AAAAAAAAAAAAAAAAAAAAAAAAAAAAAAAGAGAGAGACTCTGGAAAAAACTGGAGTGCATTCTGATAAATCAGTCCTAGTTTTAGCTAAGGAGGTACTGCTCATGGGAAGAAAAGAGTGAAGGAACAGCAGAAAAATCTACCTTGGTAAATAATATAGAAAGACTCAACAGACCTCCTAGGGCGTTCACCTTGAAGTCTCCACCACCCTTTATGCTCATGCAACTAATAATGATAGTAACTAATAATAAGCTTTTGTTATGTATCAGGTACTTTCCTTAGCAATTTACCAGTATTCACTCATTTAATTCTCATAATAATTCACCATTTTATACAGTGAAGAAGCTGAAGCACAGAGAGTAAAATAACCCAAGCCATGAGCACAAATGGCAGAGCTGTAATTTGAACTTGAGGTGTCAGGTTCCACAGATAAGGCAACCGGCTAGTATGCTTCAGTAATTCTTCCTCTTGTTCTCTCTCTCTGTTCTTTTTTTCTCTCTCCCCACCATCATCCGCCCAAGCTGCCCAAGCCATCCGAGCTGGCAAAACTGAAAGCTAATGCAGTGTTTCCTCTTGCAAAGAGGATGCCTCTCCCTGCAGCCACTCACATTCTGAGAAGGTTCAAGCCTTTCCAGTCCAGATCACACATACACAAAATCTCTGGGCACATGACACAGAATGGTTTTTGCTCTTTCTCCTCCTATGTATAGAGTCAAGTTTCCATATAGTCCCTTTATAGTTCTATTGCCCCCTTTTGTCCCGGTTTCTCTGACAGTATTAAGACTTTATAGCTATTGACTAAAGCATGTGGCTTGTAAAAAGACAATAGCAAAAATGAGCATGAAGACTTTCTTTAATGAGCCCCAACTAGGGGCTTTGTTGAAAGTGGCTACTTGCTACGACAAAATACTATAGGTTCTCTAAAAGAGGTGGATTTTTTTTAAGTTGGTTGGCAAATTCAATTTTGTCTATAAAGTACTACTGACCTCTCATTCTTCTTTGTCTGTATTCCTTTCTCAGCCAAAAAATCCTTTTGTTGGCAAATATTCAACAACCCTGATACCTTGTGTAATACAAAATATTACATGTATAAAATGAGACATTTATGTGTGTCGTGATGAAAAAGTGATTCAGGATATACATGATTAAGAATATATGTCATACGGGCTTCCCTGGTGGTGCAGTGGTTGAGAGTCTGCCTGCCGATGCAGGGGATACGGGTTCGTGTCCCAGTCCGGGAAGATCCCACATGCCGCGGAGCGGCTGGGCCCGTGAGCCGTGGCCGCTGAGCCTGCACGTCCGGAGCCTGTGCTCCGCAACGGGAGAGGGCACAACAGTGAGAGGCCCGCATACAAAAAAAAAAAAAAAAAAGAATATATGTCATTACTAGCAACGATGAGGAGGGACATGGCTTCATTTCTGGTCTTCTAAATGAGAGATATATATCTTCCAAGTGAGACATAAATACTATGACTCAAGATGTTACTTTTTCTCTTCTACAGTTTCATGGAACACGTTACCACTCATTTAAATACTGAATCAAAATTCTGTGTCAGTAACTGTCATAAAACACTAGGGAGGTGACTCGTTGTTAAAAGGTAATACTCATCACCTGTCAACAGCTCATTAGCATGATTGAATAGGCACTAATGTGGTAATTACCATGAATTGTCAATTTCCATCAGAGTGTCTTCTCTCAGCCCTGAGATTGGGGATGTTTGTGAAATCACAGAGGAAGGCAGAAGATGGCCAAGTTAACAAATACAGCTGCTCACCATCTCCACTACCAGGAAATAATGGCAAAAACATCTAGAATAAAAACAATGATGATGATAGCTAATATTTATTGAATAATTATTCTTTGCCAGACATTAGCCAAGTGTCTTACATATTCTATTGCATTTACTACTTCCACTCACCCTATAAAGTATGTACTATTATTAATACTAGTCCAAGAGGATAAAACTTAGAGACATGGTGGAAATTGCCCAAGATCATACAGCTAATGAGTAGCAGAGCTAGAATTCAAACCCAGGTCATCTGAATCCCAAATCCACATGCTTGACAGTTTCACTCTATTCCAGGGTTTTTCAGCCTCAGCACTACTGACACTCGTAGCTAGATAGTTCTTCGCTGTGGAGGTCTGCCCTGCAGGACTGAAGGACGCTTAGCAGCACCCCTGGCTCTGCCAACTAGATGCCAGTAGCACCTTCTCTCCCTGGCCCCCTCCCTACTAGTGGCAGCCAGAAATGTCTCCAGATGTTACCAAATGTCCTCCAGAAGGCAAAACTGCTACTCCCCCCAAACTTGAAAACTCTACCCTAACTCTTTATACTGATTATATAATATCATGTCATTAAATAACTTCCAGAAACCTAATTTTAATGGCTATAAGATTTTATTGAATGTTAAATTAGTACTACACCCAAAATATTACTTTTGATTATTTTTTAAAGAAAAATTTATGTTTAAGAACTTACAACAAGATTTTTTGAAATCTACCCCTTTGGTGTATTCTCAGATTTAAAGATAAAGTTTGTCAATGAAATGAGAAGCAGGAGGTGTTTTATATCGCAAAGACTATTAACTTCCCTTGCTAAAATGTGTCACTGTTTTTCACCTGTTATACTATAGGAGAGAAAATGAAGAAGCCTTGTGTCAGTAAGAAGTTTCTTTAATAGTGAAAGAGTTTATTTGATTACTGTATACAGACATGGTCTAAATCAACAATCAAATAAAATATGGCATGCATATATATCTGAAAATAAAAATAAATTCATTAGTCAGATTTTCTTTAAAAATTCAGAATTCTATGATTTTCCTAAAATGTCTAATAAATCAAAATTTACTAAAGCTTTGGTTTTGGTTTCATTCCTTTTAAAATATATACTTAAATAAATATTAAAAGCAAGTATTTTGCTATTTCTACCTATACCATTCACTAAATACTTAAGTGCTTACTATTATGTTAGCTAGTTTAGGAAAGATATAAAAATTAATGTCTGCATTCCTGAGGAAATTATTTTAGAAACAAGTCACATACACATAAGCCCTAACAATAAGAAAGGACAGTATAAAGCAACTAGTAAAGTGTTTTGTGTAATTCACATTAAAGAAAAATATATGCACACACACACACACTGAAGTTAAGGAAGATCGCGAGATTCATTTAATAGGCATATTCCATATAAACTACTCACCACAAATTTTCCATTTTAAGAGTCCACATGAAAAATCAGTATGCAGAGACTAGAAGCAAAATACATCAAACAAAAACTTCCTAGAGATGTCTGAGTTGTCAAATTTTACTACTTTTCCAAATCTTTGTAAGGTTGGAGAAAAAAATGGTGCATTTTTGGATAAAAACAAACATACTTTTACTGATGCATTTTTTACTATTCTATCATTCTTTCTCACCAAAACCACAATTTCCTACAAATCCCATGAAGTTTTAAATTAATAGTGTTTGGCTCCTATTTACCAAGAAGTGGTTTACCCATCACCATACAAATGGAATTAAAAATATATCTGGCTAAAGAAATCCAAAAGAGAACGTTGGAGTTTGTTGGGTTTATTGACAATGATGTGTATTTAAGTGACCATGCATTCTTAACCTCTCTCTTGGGTGCAATTCGGTAGTAATCTGCCTTTTAATAACCTACACTGGACATCACGGTTGCAATCCAAGTGAGCAGTGTCACAACAAAATTATCTAGTACACACACGTTGCTTAGGGCAGCAATGTTACCATAGTTACTACCAGATCAAACATCTCAGGAAAGCAGAGCCACTAAGTCTTTCAAGGTGCAGAAATTCAGCACTTTTGATAGGTAATGAGCCTTCATTTTCCTTCATCTTTGGGCTTTTCCAATTGGTCTTGTGCTGTTTCTTTATCTTTCTTTTTCACATCTAAAAAAACAAATAATTTTCCATCATATAGAGAATATACTGAAATCTACTTTGTATTATATTGGAATAAAACAGCTGGTTTTTCCTTTATGCATCCTAGTCATTTTCTACTTGATTAGGACATACTTTGCCGTCAGTGCAGATGTAGAAACTACACAAAGGAAAGAGATATGGGTCTGTCTCTTAGTTACCTTTCTCTCCTATTCTCCAGACTTATGTGCCAGGCGGTCTTCAAAGGTATTATTATTACAATCTTCATTTATAGATTAGTTTACTGAAGCATAAACAGGTTAAGTGACTTGCCCAAAGTCACCGAGCTAGTAAGTGACAGAGCCACAGTTGGGATGCAGACTGACTGACCCTGCCCTTCCCCATCTCTCGATGTTGGATCACACTCTCTAGCTTCCTTACACTTTTTATCTCCTTTGCTCTTAGGACTTAATCGCACTTTCTACTTCCAGGAAAAAAAAGTCAAACAATCAGATCACCCAAGCTCGACTTTCTGCCACCAAACCTCTAAAATCCCCTGCCGTCTCGACTTTTTCCTTCTGCCCATGTTACAATGGAAGATGTGCTCCTCAGGACTGACTATATGAGTTGTTGGAACCTAGTGCATAGTGGAAACACAGCACCCCTTATTCAAAAAATATGGAAAATTTCAAGGCAGCAACAGTAGAACAAAACCAAGGGCGAGCCTCTTATGAGCCCGAGGCCCTGCGCAGCTGCCCACCCAGCGCACCCTTGTAGCTGGCCTTGGTGCTGCTCCTACTGTCCAGGTCTAATTTCTTCACAAGCCAGGATCTTATCCATTTCTGCCTCAACAGCACTCTCAAGATCATCTCTAATCCCTGCATTTCACCTGACTTTTGCTCTTTCTCCTGGCTCCGTCATTTCCTCAAGTCACTACCATCTTCAAACTAACGAAGGCCTTCTTTCCACTGCAATTCCTCCACTTACTGGCTTTTCTTTTATCCTTTAAAATATATTATATCTTTTGCTGTCATCATTTTAAAACAAAACCATTGTTTCTACTACTTCCGCAAAATGGGTCCTGCCAAAATCATCAATGGCATCTTTGAAAAGAAATCTGATAGACCATTCAGTTCTCCAACTTTCAAGCACTATGTACCAAGCAGTGAAAAAAAAAAAAAAAAAAAACCAAACAAACATACATTCCAGCTCTCAGGGAACTTCTTGTGAGGAATATGGACAAGAACTAAAATAAGTAAAATGAGTGGCATGTGGGAAGTGAGAAGTGCTACAGAGGACATTAAAGATCAGGAATTGTCAAGAAGTCTTGGGGCCTGGAGGTTGCAATTTTAGATAGGGTTGGCTGGGAACGCCTCACTGAGAAGGGGGTCATGTGAGTAAAGACCTGAGCGGGTGAGAGAGTTCGCTAGTTGGGTAGCAGGGAGAAGAGCATTCCAAGAGGAGAAAACGTCAAGGTCAGAGGCAGCAACGTGCAGGAAGAACTGCAACTGGGACCGTGCAGACAAAAAAAGGATGGAAAATGGGGTTGGAGAGGAACCAAGAGACTAGATCTTTGAAGGAGAAAATGGCAGATTTCTGAACCAATTTTGAAAGTAGGGCTGACAGCATTTGGATGTCTCGCAGGCCTCTTAGATGGAATATGCAGGAAGCAGATATCACTACTCTAACCCTCAAAATTGCTTTTCTTCCATGCTGGCCCTTCTCAGTATATGGCATCACCATCTACCCTGCTGCTCCAGGAATTATCCTCCATTTCTCTTCTTTATTACTTGTAGTCACCTCCACCACCTCCAATTCATCAGCAAGTCCTATGAATTCTGCCTATAAAATATATCCCAAATCCACCCACCTTCCTCCATCTTCACTGCCTCCTTTATCCTTCTCTAAGGACAAATTTGACTTGGGGTTAATTTTCTGGCTCTGTTACCCTGGGAACCGGATTCAGGTAGAATGTCAGCCTGGTTACTAAGCGTATGGTAAAAATGACCCAAATGGTAAAGTACAACTGTCCTGAGAGAAACTATACGATAACTGTAAATACCTGGTAGGAAACCATAGCACTGGGATTCTGTAAATGCCATGACACTTATAACTGAGCATGTCCCTTGCAGAGAAGTTAGGAAGCAGTGTCCAAGGACTTGTTACAAAGTATTAGCCCCCACGGGACATGGGGCTTCTAGCCCGTTGCCCCCATTGGTGCAGATCTTGTCCCCTTGCACCTGAGTTCTCAGTGAGGGGTGGGGTGAAGGTGCATAGAGACTGGTCCCCAGGACAGCTTATGTGGATCGCTGCAAGGACTTCCACAGAAGGAGATGGTGGAATGCAGCCCTTCTGACCTGCTGTGTTTCTAAACCTGTATACTTCTGAGCAGACTGGCACCAGATGTGGTCTTATGAGTCTGTGGTCTTATGAGTCTGAATGTTTAATTTGGCCCCAAAACATTTCCTAATGGGGATTGCACCTCCTAACTCAACTATATCCATTATTTCTCTTCTACAATCCATTCTCCACATAACAAAGTGGATATTCAAACAGGAACATCACTCCCCTGCTGAAAACGCTCATATTTAGAATAATATCCTCTTAATTCATCCAGGTTTCTGAAGCCCTAAGAGATCTAGTCCTTGCCTCCTCTGCAGTGTCACCTCTACCACTCTCCCTCTTACCCGCTGCCTCCGAGCCGTGGTGGCCAGATTTTATGCTTCTTGACACGTCCACCTTGTTCCACTCTAAGAGCTTTTTTACAAGCTGCTCCTTCTGCAAAGAATGCTCTTCCCTCTGATTCTCCTGTGCCCGGACCATTCAGTTGTTATTCAAAACCTACTGCTGCCATTCAGATTTCACTTAGGATATCTGGAATTTATCAGTCTAAAGTAGCCACCCAGTAACTCTCTAAAGCAGCATCCTATTTCATTCTGATAGAACATATCACCGTTGACTTACATATTTATTTGTTTACACTCTAACTCTCCCATTGGAATATAAGATGCATAACAGTAAGAGTTTATGTCTGTCTTATTCACTACTATATGGCCGGTTTTTAGAATGGTGCCTAGCACTTGGCACTAAGTTGAATGGTGGATCAAATGAATAGTTAGTGATGGTGGAAGGTAAGAAAGGCCCCTTGTGACATTTACAGTTTCCTATGCTGCCACCCTCTGTCACCTCTTGCTGATGTGTTACAGGGCATCATCGTCCTCCCTACCATGGTTATCAATTTGTAAGGGATAGATTAAGATGGATTATAAACTAGGAAGATTTCAGGCAGGTTAATTTCACACAGGATGCAGGATGTCTGCGATCCTAGATTTCTTCCCACTTAAGAATATCAAAAAACAAAAATGAAAGAGGATTGATCTGAGGGAAACTTGCAGATCTGTCCCAGAATTTCTATTTTTAAATGACTAAAACACTGAAATCATAATGTCTGAGACAGACCCTAGATTTTTGCTATTAGCAATTGAAAGCTATTCATTTTAAATCCTTAATGTCTGTACTTAGCTAATAAAAAAAAGAAGATAGACCTTAAAGCTATTTATGTATAGCTTTGTTAGTGACACATTGTCTATGCCATCTACCGACATAAACTTACTTCCTTTTTGTGTATTCTTTAACATCCGGTGTTACTATGTTGATTCACTTTTTAACATTTTGAGTTTCTTAGTTAATACCTTCAACTTTATTTCAAAATGATTTAAAGAAAAATATAAAAATAGAAACAATATTCTTTCAGATAATGGTCTCTTCAGTGAACAAAATAAAATGAAGACACTACTAACTTTCTTACAGTGTATTTGTTCTCTTTTGCTTAACTAAATAATGTCAATAAGCATTAAGGTTTTGTGTGTGTGTGTAGGGACTATCAACTTTAATTAGGCCTGTTACATGAACAAGTAACTTATCTTCTCGACCTCGCTAGTTGAGAAGGCTCTTCAACAGCAATATCATGCCCTGATAATCAGATTACATTTTTTAACTTAAAAGGCCCAAAACATTACACATATTTTTATTCTTCTTCTTTCATTTCCTCCATCTTTTCTTTTATCTTATGATAGTTTACGTGTATACTTTTTTACTATTATTTTAGTACCCTTTATGATACGTACAATGATTTTTAGAAAAAGGTGAGGTAACCATGGGACTCCAAGGTCTAGCCACAGTCCCTGGCCTAACAAGGATATAAGTATTTCATAAAGATCATACCAGGAACACTTGTAATTTTACCAGGTAGAAAGTCACCTCCTGAGGCAAAGAACTAAGAGCCCTCTTCTAGGGCTCACATGAATAGGGTAGAGGTGCAGAAGCTTCCAGCTCTCTCTTGCCTCATTGCCACCAGTAATAAATTTCTACACACACACTGGAGTCCACTTTGAAGTCTAAAATGGGGTACAAAGCACAGGTATGTTGGTAATGACTTGGTACTAAAACTCTCTTTAAGCTATTTGAATGTTTTTAAGTGAAGGGACTCTTAACACTTTACTGTAAGTGTTATTATATTTATTTTCACAAGACTAAACGCTGGAAGCTTTATGAACTGTATGTAAGCAACAGGGTAAAAGACCCAAGATTTTCCTTCATTGGTTTGACAGCTCTCGTTTTTTCTGAATTCAACTTTTTCTACTGATTAAAGAATGATCAACTTTTAAAGTTCCCATCTCTACTTGATAATAAACCTATTCTTAGCTATGAGAAATAGAAGAGCTTGTAGAACACTACAGTGAAGCAGAAGCTTCCAAAATGATTTGCCAATGGATGGCAGAAGAAAAATTACTTTATTCCTTAGAACGTCTCAGGAAATTCTGTAAGCTGTTTGAAGGAATGGATTATATTGGTTCACCTTTGTATTCCCAATCATTAGGACTGTGCATAACTATACACATCCAACAAGTAAATAAATGTTCAGTTTCCACATTTAATCTAGGAGATAATAAGAGGAAAAGTCCACTTTTAGAAAGGCTGAAAAAAAATTTACTTAGCTTTAAACAAAAGCTGAGAAGCTTTAGTAAACAAGCTTAACTAGTTAAAGGGGAGACTGTTCCAGAGGGAAGGATGAAGAAGAGAGAAATGCTGTTGATTTTAAGAGGATTTTGAGTGTTACCTTCCTTCACGGAGAGGACCTCCGGTTTGAGGGGCAACTCTGAGGTTCCACCCGTGGCAGCTGAACCCTGGATGTCTGGTAGAGCATTCCGGCGGCCTGCCCTTGCTGATGATGCAAAATTGTTGACCATAGGCTCCACATCCGTCATTTTTGATGAATCTGTCCTCATAGCAACATCTACAAATAGAATGTGCACATGAAGAAGAGGATGAGCCTAGTCCAAGGTCCACGTTCACACTGCTGGGGGTTAAAAGGCATGGCTACATCAACAACATGGAAGCTTTGAATATCTAATCATTGATCGTACCCTGCATCTATGTCTATGCTAAGGTCCTGGAGCTTCTATTTGCACTTTTGTACACTCGCTGAATAAAGCAGGAAGGCCTCAGTGTGAGCCAGATTGCTATAAATAACCTCTGAGCCAAAGGAACCATTTGGATGCTTTCGGGTGCAGTCATCTCTTGCCTTTGATTCTGCTTTTCTATGGATGCATCAGCCAAATGAGGGCTGGAAGGAAATGCAGACTGACTTGCTTGGCCACTCCTGTGGAGACCCTGCCTGCCAGGATTTGCTTGTAGTGCTTGCTTAGGCTGAAACCAAATCACTATAATTTGTAAGGACCAAACAAAACACACTTTTTTCTTACTCTTTAGAAATAAGAAATTCAACTTTATCTCAAAGGCTTTTCACCCCAGTGGCAGCCGTGTATTTCTATCTGCTCTAGTCTCAGACCTAATTTTCAACAGACTCATGTCTGTGTTTGGGAGAGTAGAACCTGTGTTACCTTTTCTTGCCTTCAAGTGGACATGGTAATAACTAGTGCTTTTCTAAGCACCCTTTATGTTCCTAGCAATTGTCTCTCTCTATGAAAATTCTCGAGACCATTCACTATACAGCGAGGGAGGTAGCAGACATTGCTTATTCTAAAACTAGCCCTCTCTTTTATTTATTTATTTTTTTTGCGGTACACGGGCCTCTCACTGTTGTGGCCTCTCCCGTCGCGGAGCACAGGCTCCGGACACGCAGGCTCAGCGGCCATGGCTCACGGGCACAACCGCTCCGCGGCATGTGGGATCTTCCCGGACCGGGGCACAAACCCGTGTCCCCTGCATCGGCAGGCGGACTCCCAACCGCTGCGCCACCAGGGAAGCCCTAGCCCTCTCTTTTATATGATGTTTTCTAATGAATCTTTCCTACGAAGTCAACATTGAAGAGTATCTCAAAAGCAGCAGCAAACTTTTTTTTTTTTTTTTTTTTTTGAGAACCCATTAAATGCTAGGCTCTCAGCTGGGCCTTGAGAGTACAGAGGAATGATTTATTCTCCTCTTTTAGGGGACTTGTACTCTCCAAGGGGAGAAAAAAGGTTTACATACAAGGATAGATAACATCATAACACAGAATGTGCTGAGTATCAACCAAGAGATGGAGATACTCATCTGTGATACTCGAGGGCTGAAGGATATGAACCTTGGCCTACACGAAGCAAACCAAACTTTTCACCTCAGTTAGAAGGGAGCCCTTTCCAATCAGTTAACTGCAATTCAGGAAATGCTAAAAATGAAGTGAAACAGTCACAAAGTATGGTGCATTTGATATGAGAAACACAATGTCTTTGGTCCACAGCAACCAAGAAATGCACATCAAGCGTAGTGTGGGCCTCAGGAGTCCAGGAGTCGAGTCTAGGCTACTTCCCCAGATGGTCTCGTCTTTCCAGGAATCATGGACAATTTGAGAACAATGCTAGATTTTCAGACATAATTTTGGAGTTCTAGCTGTTGAGTATTTGCCAATTGTCTGGTATTGACAACATAAAGTAAAGAGCACTGGACTATTAGTCAAAAAGAACACTCCATGACAGGCTTGCAAGGTGATACTGGTTAATTTCTCCGAGTCACAGTTCCTCCCCTATATAATGGATATAAACGTTAGCCTGACTGATCCACAGAACTCTAGTGAAGAACAAATGAGATAAAGAACATGGAAACTCTTTGTAACTATAAAACCATATGTTTGGTTACCAGCATCACTGTTCATTTCTCTCTAAGTTTTATTTACGCCACCACCTACTATGTATCCCCCTTAGTCCTAACAAGAAACATCTTCCTATTGAAAGACCTCTTGAGTTTTTTAAAAGGGAAACCAGAATTTATTCAATACTACATGAACACTTTCATACCTGTTATCTCAGATAAACCTCCCAATAATCCTTGTGAGGTAGTGAGAAATAACCCTCACTATATGGATGTGGTAACTGGGGCTCAGAAAGGTTAAGTGACTTATTTTAAGTTGAACAACTGCTAACCTAGTACACAAGGATGCAAATCCAGTTTCAGTTCACTCTGAAAGCAAGATGACATGGATTACCACAAAACTATCTTTCTAAATCCTGGTGATACATATAGACAGCCAAACCACAGCTACTTCAGATTCTGCCCTTCATTACTTTTTAAATAGAAAAAAATATATACAGTTAACCCTTGAATGACACCAGTTTAAACTGCACAAGCCCACTTATATGTGGATTTTTTTCAATTAACGTGTATTACAGGGCTACACAATCCACAGTTGGTTAAATCTAGAGATGGGGAACTGCAGATATAGAGGTTGGATTGTAAAGTTATACACAGGTTTTTGGCTGTATGGAAGTCGGTGTCCCAACCTCCATGTTGGGTCAACTGTATATATATGTGTGTGTGAAAAAGAAAGAGATTCCCTGTCTTTTCATAGGTATTCCTCTCTGGCTTGAATGTTTGGTTATCTGTGAGCCCCTCGCACTACTCCCCATGACACACAAATTTCAATTAGAGATCGCTTCTCTATAGCTCGTGAGGAGTACTTGACACCAGTTTGGAAACAGACCCCATTTGTAGGCCCCCATTCTGTCCCCAGCCAATTAACATCACATCAAAAGCCATGGCCATGATGAAGTGTTTATTTCTGTGAAGGATCTTCCTGTGTAATTGCAAAGAAGATAACTATGCTAAGCTTGGAGGAGAAGCTCCACGAATACCCTGATTATTACTGTCCTGACAGTCCAAAATCGTAAAACTGAAGATAACAATAGATATAAGAATATTAAGATACACTCTTTAAAATACTTGAATGCTACATATTTTATGTTTAGCAAAATGGGATTTGTATTGAGTACTGAGTTAGAATTTGCATATTGACAGAAAACTCCCAAAAGGTGGCCTGTCGAGTGGGCCATCAACATGGAAGAAGACATTCTGGGCTCCAATTTTTTTCTTTGCTATTGGCTCCTATCTTGAAAGTTTTTGCTTTTGCCTTTATACTATTATTTCTGGCATAGGCTTTCTAAATGAGTCCTTTTTTGTCGATTGGTGTTAGAAAACAAGACCATCACAAGCCAAAAAGTTTGTCAACATTATACACGTTAATTACCATTTTAAAATCAAAACAAAACTGGATATGCAGGGAGGGCAAGCAACAGGTTACTTTACTCCAGAGCTTTCCTTGGTCCTTTTCCAAACTCGTATTAGGCACCATCTTCCTTTCAGAGCCTGTCACTGATGCTGAGTGACCAGGATGTCAGGCTCCACCACAAGACGGATAGTTTGCCCAGCCCAGACCCACAGGGCTGTTGGGACAGGGAGCTTTCTGATCTTCCCGACAGAATGTGCCGGTGACTTAGAGACACTGGGAAGAGAGTCTGAATGCATAGGGTGATTCTTAACTGGGCTCTTTTAATCCCCTGGTAAGAAAGTTTATTGCAGCACTAGAAATAATCAGGAAAGGAATGATTGAATAAACCATATATATTATATTATGGAATTTTATATGGCTCTTAAAAAGAATGTGTTAGATCCAGTCAGATCTACTTACTGAGATATGTTCTTGACACACTGTGAAATAAAGCAAGTTTAAAAAGAAATATTTACAGCATGAGGGGAAAGGAGAAAAAGTAATGAATGTAATGTAATCTCAACTTTGCAAAAAGAATAAAAATTCTAGTTTGGAATTTAAGAGAGAACAAGGAGAATACTAACCACTGTTGGTATCTCCTTACATATTTTAACTTGTAATAATGTGTTAAAATAATATATAAAGGACTTGAAACACATTCACCTGGCAAAATTATGAAAAACACTGAATGTCTCTAAAGTAACATTTTGATAATTTTACCCAAAATAGTATATCTTCAAGTGAAAGTCTCTCACTACCCCAACTAGCCATCCTACTTGTCTATTGTTATTATCCTATGCAACACTGATTGCGTATGCAGTAAATATATATACACACATATTATATATATATATATATATACACACATATACATACATACATATAAAGTAGAGAGAATTGCTCTCTTCAATGCTTTGTGACATTTAAAAAATATATATAATCCATAGAAAGATGAGGAAACACTACGAAGAGAAACAAAAGAGAGATTAACTTCCATGTTCTTTCAATTTTCTGGGCTTAAAGCTAATTGTGTCTGTTTGCTAACCAAGGTAGCTGACTCACTAGCAACTCTTCCTCTTTTTCGTCTACAGAATTAGCAGTGGAATTTGTATGAGTTCTGCTTTGTCAACTGTGGCTGCTTACAGGAGCTGAAACCATTTGGACATTGGGAGATTTCAAAGAAGTCCTTGCATGGCCCATAGCAAGGTAATGTGATTTACAAATGCCTGGGACACACTTTCTTCTCTACCGAAAATACACAATTTTCAGGATGCCTTAACAAAATACCATTACACAGCCACATACACACACATGCCAGGATCTTTGCAGTCTCCAAAATATGAAAATGCAACACCAGCATAGCTGAAGAAGACAAAGACATTCAAGCTAAATGGAGCACTGCAGGAATATATATATTTATATATAAAGAAAGCACTAGTCAGCTTCCAGTGGGCTAAACATTTCCTGCTAGGAGTATGTTAGTATGTTATAGGCATAATTATAAACAAATAGACATTTTTGCAACCTCTTTCCCTTTCAACTGACACAGTCCATCTTCTTAGCTCATACTCATTCTTTTCTCCAAGTTCCTTATTGAAGCCCAGCCCACAAAGAGGCGGATACCTTTTTTTCTAATCTCTGCATCCACGTCAGTCACATCATCCACCTCAGTGAAACCACTACTCATTCTGCATGTAGGACTTGGAATAAACTCTTTACCCTCTAAATCAGTTCTCTGAAGTTATGAGTCAGGC